GTTGCTCCATCAGCCAAACCTATAAAAGTATTCACACGATATACTTCTATTTCGAGTGCTTTATTAAGACCACGCTCAAATTTTAATAGATCCTTTCATTATTATTTGAGTCAACTTGTCATGTGGTCTGGTAAGGGCTCTTGTACAGCTCGATACACGTGCTTCGTCGTTACAAACTCGTCAGTCAGGCAGAACACGTCGTCTTTCGATATTTTTATAGTCAGTTCTTTAGGGAACTCTACTCCCTCACAGAGAGTCATCGAAGACAAACGTTTTACACTCTATGTCATGCGAAATTTTCACCTAACACAGAGTGTTTGCGCACTTAATTGTTCTTTGGCTGGTATTCTTATCAAATTATACCTATATTTCGAGTACTTTATTATGACTGACGAGTCTGTAAGCACGAAGCACGTGTATCGGGCTGTACAAGAGCTCATACCAGACAACATAACACGTTGGCTCAAATAATAATGAAAGGATCGATTGAAATTTGATTGTGGTCTTAATATAGCACTCGAAATGAAGGTATAATATGATAAGATTACCAGCCAAAAAGCAATCGAGTGCGCAAACACTCTGTGTTAGGTGAAAATTTCGCTCGACATAGAGTGTAAAACGTTCGTCTTCGATGACTCTGTGTAAGCGAGTAGAGCTCCCGAGAGAAGTGACTATGAAGATATCGAAAGACGACGAGCTCTGCCCGACTGACGACTCTGTAAGGACGAAACACGTTTATCGGGCTGTACAAGAGCCCTTACCAACCACATGATAAGTTGGCTCAAATAATAATGGAAGGATCTATTTACATGATGAAATTGTTGGAAACAAATACAACACCATGAAATCATAACTACAACTAGTTGTCTAAAACAGGCAGATGATCTGCCGTTTGGTTAAAACAACAAGGCTATGATTTAAATAAGCTTTTGATCACCAATCAGGACAGTAATTACTGGGTATTTGTAGGGGTTAGTCACATTATGCAGAGACCAATAGAATAACCGTACTGCGAAGTGAAATTACAGAGCAATAGAGGAGGAAGAAACATTGAGATAAAACGAAAACATTACATGCTAACTCACACTTGATGGAGCGGTTCGCAATACGAAGCAAAAATGACGACGGAACTACGTTCTGTCGTTTAAACACTGACAATTGGGTTGTTATAGTGATTAGAGGAGTAGTGATTGATAAAGCTATTAGTAACTGATAAATTAACATAAGGAATTAACGTGCCAAGTTATCGGTAAAAAAGCCATGATGCTGATGAAGGTGACGAAAAAAGCAAAAGTATGACGAAAATCTATTTTATTTAGATAACGTGTTGTAGCGTAGAAAGAATGATGCCAAAATGGGCGTGGCGGTAGTGCAACGGTTTAGCACGCGTCTCCGGATAGGGTGAGATCTGGGTTTGAATCTCAGCTACGCAAATGTTTTTGCACATCACTCTTTATCATTCGGTATATGCCAAAAATATTTCCGAATACGCTGGAATCACACAATAAGTAGTGGTCATGACACATAAGTACAGAATAGTTAACGGATGATAAAGTGAACACATTACGAGTCGCTGTTAAACAATAGGCAATCCATAAAAGTAAGTCGATAAAATTCGTCTACCAAGCTGAAACATTACCGTGTACAATTAGTCTTCATTCAAAGAAAATAAAACGACATCCTGAATACAAATATGCGCTCCCAAATTGGAGCCACATGAAAAACTGAAAAGTCGGGAACACAATGCGATGCTCGGTATCATTTCATAGATTCACATTCTAATTTACTTTCAGCTATCAATCTGGTGCAGATCTCATTATTAAACAGAATTTTTTTTGGGTCTCACACATATATCTAAAAAAAATTTTATTTACCAAACAGCTTTAACACACTTCTCAGAAGTGTTATAATGTTTCAAATATACCTAAGAGAATTAAGTGGTGAGTAAAAATCCAATCTCAGCGAGAGTTGAACCCGCGTTTCACACATCCGAGGCGCGTGCTACCACTACACCACTGAGGTCACCGCTCACGCACTACACATTCCTCAAAATCCCTTTATCATAGCTTCCAACAAGCTACCTTTAACCCTGAGAAACGACATGTACCAGCTAAGGTGCACGATTGCTTGCAAGCCTTTCTTATTGCATCAAAGTTTTTTCCTAAACATTTGGCAATTATGCATAAGCTCAAATCACTGCAATTTCAATGATTTGCTCAGGCGAAAAAAAATCATATTTAACGCCTAAAATGTTACCTTACAGCTTGGATGCCATGGGTGGTTCAAGGGTAACTATAGGTGTAGTCTATATGTCAGAAGTATGTTATCGTCACATAAACAACGGAATATCACGAATGAATCTTTCAGAAAGGTTTTTTTATATAAAAAGCGGATACTGCTGTTATAATCCTTCATTTTTCAGTGGTAATATCACGTCCTTGCAAAAAAAAAAAACAAAGGTCCAATATAATTTGCCTTTATGTTTTTAAGAAGTTTTCACGTGTAGTACAACCTAAACGCTTTAATGCGTTTAGTTTGGATGCTTTATAACCCTTTCAGGTGCTTCATAAGTTTGGCAGATTTCATCAAATTTGAAATTGATGAAAAGAGGATTTTGACGTGTTCCTTTCTTAGTCTTGATAATAAGTATTTCACATGAATTCAAGCCACCTAATGTGTCGTAATACTTTTTCCGGTCTTTCCCTCAGAATCGTTAACGCAAGCATATCTTTCGAATATACCTAAAAGAATTGAGTGATGAGCAAAAGCGAAGAGATATCAAAGAATGAGTGGTGGGTTAGCAGTGACCTCGGTGATGTAGCTGTAACACACGCACACGGTATCACTGCTCATCTCCCGTCTGAGGTCAAATTTTGCTCAACATTTGATTCTCATAGCTAAATTTGAAACATCTTAATACTATGGAAAAGCAATAAAAACATGCGAAGCCTCGGATTTGTGTAAATGCTATATCTACCAGCTTAATTGGGTTTGTGGAGCGATATTGTTTACCTTACCAAACCTTTTAAACGCGGACGACTATAGAAATTGATGAGCGCAAGCGAACTGCGTGATTTTCGTTGATTGATTGAGATTTTCCTTGGACGTTTCTGAAATTTTTGGAATTCTTGCATAATTTTGTTTATAACAAAATTTGGCATTCAACCACAAGTACTGCACTGTACAAAAGGGATCACAAGGAAAGCCTTCAGTTTTGCTCTTCCCTATTTTTATGCAAGACCAAGGGGTCATCGTAGTAAATAAAAAGTGGAGAACAGCTAGTATTTCATGATAATGATTATGCATGCTGCAATCGATGCCTTTTCGTCGATAACTCTCATTATAACTGAGTTTATATCAATTATTCGTTTATTTCCAACTATTCAGTGTTGGCGAGCGTGTGAAAAGAGAAAAGGTTGAGTACCTATGAGTAGTGGAAGGATTCTGGGCTATAAGGGACAAGCTCGTTTGAATAAAAGGCTTAGAACATCGGCATTATGTGATCTATTGGTCCAAAATATGTGTTTCCCGAGAATTATTTTCGGCACTTTTCTAATGTCCGCACCCATTTATAAAGAAAGGTACTTTTTATTCTTTTTGAGGTTTTAGTAATTATTCGACAGCCTTGATATTGAGAATCTAAAGGGTGCACTTTGAATTTCAAATGACTCATATCATGTTGTGAAGGTGAAGTGGAATTATCTGTCACACTCAAGCATCTTTCGCTGCACAGAGGTTCTTATTCGGACATTCAATAAACATTCGATAGCACAAATCTCAGGGATCTCAATGACAAGCTTTATTTTTGAGTAGGACGTGCTATTGCGTTGCTACAGTTAAAAGATTATTGAGTTTCACACTCGCCATTGTGTATATCGCGCCAGCGCAATTTACACATGGCGTTCGGTGCGCACCGAGTGTGATACATAATATTTTAGCCGTAACGACGCAGTAAGAAAATTTTCTCAAAAGGTTAAGCATATCCTTTAAAATTGCTGAGATTTGCTCTATCGAATGGATGTTGAAGCATGAGAGAAAGGCCGTGTTTAACGATAAAATTTGATGTGCAATACAGTTTTATTCTTGTTTTTATGGTTGGCAAAGAGACTTTTCTTCAAAAGTCAGGTGTTGCAATATCCGTCCACATGCCGGTGTAAGACGTGCGCGCCGCATGTGACATAGAATCTTAATTCCAGTGTTACAGCGCAAAAGAGAGATTTCATGGAAAACCAAAAACACTATCAAATTTTCCACGATTTCTGCTGTCAAAGTATGGTCCATCTTTTAACATCTTACATCTTTCAAATTTGCGAGGTTTAAGCTATAAATTAACTACTAAAACTAGATGAAGTAAAAATTCCGTTTTTTACCTTAAAACATGGGTACTGATAGGAAAGATACCGTATCATACGCAATGATGAACGTAAGCTCTTCTTACATATTAGAATAACCCCCTCCTGGACCTCTATAAGAAATGTTTAGTCGCAGTAGGTGTGCTTTTAAGCCGAGTTCTCGCAAAACAGGCGATACAAATGCTAGTAAATGAAGCGAGTAGTAAAAATTTGTTTCTTTTTTTTTGCAAGGACGTGATATTACCACTGAAAAATGAAGGATTATAAACAGCAGTATCCGCTTTTTATATAAAAAAAACCTTTCTGAAAGATTCATTCGTGATATTCCGTTGTTTATGTGACGATAACATACTTCTGACATATAGACAACACCTATAGTTACCCTTGAACCACCCATGGCATCCAAGCTGTAAGGTAACATTTTAGGCGTTAAATATGATTTTTTTTTCGCCTGAGCAAATCATTGAAATTGCAGTGATTTGAGCTTATGCATAATTGCCAAATGTTTAGGAAAAAACTTTGATGCAATAAGAAAGGCTTGCAAGCAATCGTGCACCTTAGCTGGTACATGTCGTTTCTCAGGGTTAAAGGTAGCTTGTTGGAAGCTATGATAAAGGGATTTTGAGGAATGTGTAGTGCGTGAGCGGTGACCTCAGTGGTGTAGTGGTAGCACGCGCCTCGGATGTGTGAAACGCGGGTTCAACTCTCGCTGAGATTGGATTTTTACTCACCACTTAATTCTCTTAGGTATATTTGAAACATTATAACACTTCTGAGAAGTGTGTTAAAGCTGTTTGGTAAATAAAATTTTTTTTAGATATATGTGTGAGACCCAAAAAAAAATTCTGTTTAATAATGAGATCTGCACCAGATTGATAGCTGAAAGTAAATTAGAATGTGAATCTATGAAATGATACCGAGCATCGCATTGTGTTCCCGACTTTTCAGTTTTTCATGTGGCTCCAATTTGGGAGCGCATATTTGTATTCAGGATGTCGTTTTATTTTCTTTGAATGAAGACTAATTGTACACGGTAATGTTTCAGCTTGGTAGACGAATTTTATCGACTTACTTTTATGGATTGCCTATTGTTTAACAGCGACTCGTAATGTGTTCACTTTATCATCCGTTAACTATTCTGTACTTATGTGTCATGACCACTACTTATTGTGTGATTCCAGCGTATTCGGAAATATTTTTGGCATATACCGAATGATAAAGAGTGATGTGCAAAAACATTTGCGTAGCTGAGATTCAAACCCAGATCTCACCCTATCCGGAGACGCGTGCTAAACCGTTGCACTACCGCCACGCCCATTTTGGCATCATTCTTTCTACGCTACAACACGTTATCTAAATAAAATAGATTTTCGTCATACTTTTGCTTTTTTCGTCACCTTCATCAGCATCATGGCTTTTTTACCGATAACTTGGCACGTTAATTCCTTATGTTAATTTATCAGTTACTAATTGCTTTATCAATCACTACTCCTCTAATCACTATAACAACCCAATTGTCAGTGTTTAAACGACAGAACGTAGTTCCGTCGTCATTTTTGCTTCGTATTGCGAACCGCTCCATCAAGTGTGAGTTAGCATGTAATGTTTTCGTTTTATCTCAATGTTTTCTTCCTCCTCTATTGCTCTGTAATTTCACTTCGCAGTACGGTTATTCTATTGGTCTCTGCATAATGTGACTAACCCCTACAAATACCCAGTAATTACTGTCCTGATTGGTGATCAAAAGCTTATTTAAATCATAGCCTTGTTGTTTTAACCAAACGGCAGATCATCTGCCTGTTTTAGACAACTAGTTGTAGTTATGATTTCATGGTGTTGTATTTGTTTCCAACAATTTCATCATGTAAATAGATCCTTCCATTATTATTTGAGCCAACTTATCATGTGGTTGGTAAGGGCTCTTGTACAGCCCGATAAACGTGTTTCGTCCTTACAGAGTCGTCAGTCGGGCAGAGCTCGTCGTCTTTCGATATCTTCATAGTCACTTCTCTCGGGAGCTCTACTCGCTTACACAGAGTCATCGAAGACGAACGTTTTACACTCTATGTCGAGCGAAATTTCACCTAACACAGAGTGTTTGCGCACTCGATTGCTTTTTGGCTGGTAATCTTATCATATTATACCTTCATTTCGAGTGCTATATTAAGACCACAATCAAATTTCAATCGATCCTTTCATTATTATTTGAGCCAACGTGTTATGTTGTCTGGTATGAGCTCTTGTACAGCCCGATACACGTGCTTCGTGCTTACAGACTCGTCAGTCATAATAAAGTACTCGAAATATAGGTATAATTTGATAAGAATACCAGCCAAAGAACAATTAAGTGCGCAAACACTCTGTGTTAGGTGAAAATTTCGCATGACATAGAGTGTAAAACGTTTGTCTTCGATGACTCTCTGTGAGGGAGTAGAGTTCCCTAAAGAACTGACTATAAAAATATCGAAAGACGACGTGTTCTGCCTGACTGACGAGTTTGTAACGACGAAGCACGTGTATCGAGCTGTACAAGAGCCCTTACCAGACCACATGACAAGTTGACTCAAATAATAATGAAAGGATCTATTAAAATTTGAGCGTGGTCTTAATAAAGCACTCGAAATAGAAGTATATCGTGTGAATACTTTTATAGGTTTGGCTGATGGAGCAACTCAATTTGTGTCTATCAGCTTTTATCGGTTGCACAGACAAGATCTTTTTTGAAATATTATACATAATTAAATTCAATCCCGTAGAAAAAGCTGTATACTGACTGCTTTGACATAAGCAACACAAATAAAATTATACAGCACTAGTTGTTTGGATGCCAAATGAACTATTCCTACAAATTTGTGGAATCAATGCATGAAAATGCGGCTATTGAACTATTACTTTGCTTCATGGGTGAATTTTCCCAATTTTTGTCTTCCAAATGTTCTAATACGATGAGCTAAAGCGTTACCATGTCGCCACCACGAGCTGCAAGCAATATACTAAGATTATTGATACAAATGACACCTATAGGAGCCACAATGAAGTTATGGGAATGGCCACTATGGCACTTACAGGTGTCGTATTATCTCCGGCGATTCATTTTGATGCACTAAGATTTTTTCTGGACTTCTTATATTCGGTGAATAGTTTATCAAACATAATTGCTCAGGGAGGCGTTGTCTTATGGAGGGAAGGCGTGTTTTTCTACTAATTTCTCGGCCGACTACTCATTTCCAACCAGACACTACTGCTGCTGAGGAGAGTGTGCAACTCGAAGAATATGGGCAGTGTAGAAGATCGGATATAGTTTTGTCTTTATGAGCTGCTATCGCTTAGAGTGTATAGCATTGTCCTTGACGAATTGCTCGCTGTTCTTTTCAATTTTAAATCGTAATGACTTCAAAGCGAGAGAAAATTGGCTTGAAATAAGGATCTATTATAACCACAATGTAAACATCATAATATATTTTGCGAAATTTCAGCAACTTTCAACGCTGACATTTTGTGATTGCTTGAAAGACAAATATTTTTTCTTCACACATAATAGTTCCCTATGCATTGAAAAACGTAGAGGCGCGTGGAACATGTATGGATAAGAGATGTGACGAAGTTCCGTCAACACACAGAGAGAGCTTGTGGATGGAAATGGCAATAAGAGAAGGCAGAATTACAAAAAAACTGTTAGAGTACTTGCTGTAGCATCCATAGGCCTCACAGTGAGCTTAGTGAAAAATTAGTTGTAGCCTTTTTCGCAGCAGGAAGAAAACTGGGAGTCGACGCGAAAGTGATAATAATTATTGTGAGCGTTTGACATGTTGCATAAGTTTATCCATAAATTCACTATAGAACTTCACCTATCTTCAAGACATTTGATCGCTGTCATACACTAATCCCTCAGAAACGCTACTGCTACATGCGCCTTACTCTTAATGCATTCCCGAAGACACCTGACTTTGTTTTGTGTCGTGTCGGACGCCACCCAATATCCACCGTTTTGGAATTCTTCGTTCTTCTTGTAGCAACAGACGGCACTTATTCGATAACCATACGACTTAAGGGAACGAGAACATAGCGGAATGTCTGGGTTAATTCTGCACTAATAGCTGTATCGATATGAATAAAGCATAATCAGCTAGTTGATGAGAAATCATCGTATGAGAGCTGTGCCATCATCATCTACAATATTCTGCAACTTAGCCTTTTCTATTTTTTTGAAACCTCCTAATTTACAATATTGGGAGTTAGTAACATAACATTATCAGAAAGCAATGTGCTGACTCGACCTACCCACTATCTCAGCACTCTCTTGTATAGGTGAGAAAGTCTTGGCTCGGATATCCTTTAGACTGTAAGGAGATTTGACTACTGGCGTTCAGTGCATCTATCTAGAAGACGAAATCGGCAAATATCAATTGAAGCAACACCTGTAATATTCGAAGACCTTTGGGACGATGAATGCGATTAATAAATCGAGTGGAAGCAGGAGTACTGGGATTGGTGTAACAAAATGTGAAGACGGATCGTATAAAAATAGTGATAATATTATTAGTAGCCGTCCTTTGTCCTGTATCATCGCCCTAAGCTCCATTAATCTTGCGCCTCCCCAATGGCATTTTCTTTTACGCGTCATTCGAGCATGAGTAGCAAGCGAATATGTTCTAATGACAGCTCCATCTTTTAGCAAGTATGGTTCAAGTTGTACACCAAAATGTTCGCAATAAAATACACAATTCAACGATAAAAAAATCATGTAATTTGTTGTCAAAAATCGTATTAATCAACCAAAGCGTCATGAACTTCTTGCACAACTTATTACAAGCGCTGAAGGCTAGCATCAACCCACATTGCTAAAATACTCGATATTTATGAACAACATCATCTGCCAGACAAAGCTAATGTAGTTACCGATTATAGATTGTCCTTTATTCTATTAGAGTCTTCAAATAACATTGCTGATAGTGGGTGTGGATGATTTTGGCAAGATCATATCGCCTTGTCATACCATTATCATTGTGCCGCTATCAAATTCGCCATTTAATGTAACATTCTATACAGGTAGTTGTCATATAAATGATTGGAATGGTTCCCATACGTTGGTAGCAGAGATGCCATGACTATCCAAAGCTTCGATAACTGTTCCTCTCAACCGAGTCGGAACAATTTTCGAAAAGAACCAGGAAGTTGGAGTGAACAATCTGTACTACTCTCTCGATTTTTTAATAAATCTTGTTATCACGCGAATGTGGTCCACCGTACCAAATTCTTTCAAGATCCTGTTGGCTCACATAGGTCTATCGCTCCTTGACCCTGCTAGTGCGCTAATGCAGCAAAATCAATGTTGTTGCAAGACCAGTTTGTTTGTTTGCTAGGCTAGGGCCTGTGTTTTGAGTCTGAAACTGGGATTGGGTTTGAGTAAAGTCTTCAGAGAGCTTTTTAACAGAAAGGGAGAAGAATGTATTTTGCTCACCAACTAGTTAGCTCATTGTTTGAATTTTATAAAGCATCAATTTCACTTCACGATAGTACGATGAAACAATTTGCGATCAGTTAATGAAAGTCGTGCTCCTCGCGAATCACGATGTGCATAACGATTTCATCTGCCTCACCGAAGAGCGCGACTTTTGCATTTGCTTACTATTTTTTTTCTTCTTCGCTTAAAACGCTGCACACATTCTTTTGAATTTCTAGCGCCATTTTCTCTACTTACTTATATGCTTCTGGGGC